GAGCCTGTTGCCGGGTGGTTACCGGATGCGCCTCTTGTGACGGGGCCTGGGGTAGAAAAGCAGAAGTCATCTGGCCCAAGTCATTCCCCAAAACAACATCGGCCGGTAGCTTTTTCATTATGGCCACTTCCACAACCCCTTCCCCAGCACCCCAATTCAAATGCACCTTGGCCGTGGGTAACCGGTACATGGCTCCCCCTGCTACCCGGACTGCCACTGATCCGCCAGTGTGGGCCATATCCGGAATTAGATGGGGGGCCACTAAGGTTAAGGTGGCTCCCGAGTCCCGCAGCCCCTGCACTTCTTTCCCTCCCACAAATACAACTTGGCGGTGATGCTGCCGGTTGTCCGTGGCTTGCACAGACATTACCTCGTACAGAACCCCCAATGGTTCCTCGGTTGGTACACTTGTCAGCTCCGAATGGTCAGGTTCTGCGTGGTAGAAATGGGCCGCCGCCCTGGGGGCGGAATTCTGCCGTACCTGGTTCCACGCCTGCCTGCTACGATTCTGGGTGCACTCCCGAAACATATGCCCCCACTGCCGGCAGGTATGGCATTGTATGTTGGCCCTGCCATTGTAGCGGGCTGGCGGTGGGGGGTTTCCTGGTGGTGGCCTGAAGGGGGTAGAGTTGGCGGGTGTGGAGCTGGCTGGGTGCTGTTGTATTGGCGGTCTTAGGGGACCCCTGTTGGTGAGCCCATGGTGTCTCCGGGCGTCAAAGTGTTCGTCTGCCAATCGGGCGGCTGCTGTGAGGTTGAGAGGTTTTCAGTCCCTTACCCACTCCTGTGCCTCTGGTGACAGACCGTTGAAGAATTGCTCCAGCAAGATGAGTTGGCGCAGTTCCTCCATGGTGGTGGCTTGACTTGCCTGAATCCACCCTTGTGAAGCTTGGTCCAGCTTATGCGCCCATTCTGCGTGGGAATCTCTGTCGGGCTTTTTCAATCCCCGAAATTTCCGTCGGTATGCCTCTGGGGTTATGGCATATCTTTCTAGGATTGCTCTTTTTACTTTAAAGTAGTCTTTGCTGTCCTCTCTGGGCACAGCGCGGTAAGCCTCTGCTGCTCGTCCTGCCAACTTGCCTGCCAGTAAGGGTACCCACATGGTCGGTTCCAGGTCGTGCAGGTCGCATAGCCTCTCGAAATCCTGCAGATATCCGTCTATCTCATCCTTCTCCTCGCAGAATGTTTTAAATGCCTGGTACGGTATTTTCTGCTTTGTTGGAGGGCAGAATGAGTTGACGATGGATTCCGCCCTGGATGGTGACCTCTGGGGTTGCTGTGCCATAATGTAGTCCTGGACGTCGGCCATTAGCACGGTTAAAATGTCCAGGGTTACTGGCTGTGGTACAAATTCCAGCCGGGTTCTCAGTTCCCTCTGGTATGGTGTTTCCTCTCTGGCAGGTGGGGGTGGACTGCTGTGTGCCTGGTCGCCCTCCATTAGTTCTGCAATCAGTACTGCCTTCGATTTGTTGCTAGCGCTTCTCCCTCTAGTCTCCAGCAGTTCCTTTAGCGTCTGTCTCTTTAACGCCGTGTAATCAGTCCCCATTCACTGATCGCTTTCGTCTGCTTGTTTCATACGAATTGCCTTTCCGTTCGGTAGTTCCTTTCATTCGAATGCGCTGTATTCGGCTGTAGAGTTGGATCCCGTCGCTTGCCACCAATTGTAGCGGAACGCCAATATAAAATCCACGAATTCCGCTGGTCCAGAAATGAATCCACAGTCAAGCGCTGAAAACACCAAGGCAATATTCCCAACCTCCCAATAACCGGACGAGACACAGTTTTGGGAGTCAACTGACAATCCTTTAATCGGCACGACAATTTATACAAGTCCCCATGCAAGGGGTTTCCTGAGTCCCTTCCCAGGGGCACTCCCAGAGGGGACTACATGGGGGACTTACAGTATAACATATTTCTCCCATCAGGCACTGCTGCACGAGAGGGATCATCTTCCCAGAATGCACCGTAAAGGGGATTATCCCCTCGTGCAGCAGAACCGGCAATTCATATAAAAATACATAACTTTTAAAATATACGGTGGATTTACACGAATGGACGTTCGGTAGTTAGCTGGGGTCTGGGCGCATCATTCGTGAGATTGCCGCTCAGATCCCAGCCAAAATAACCGAACGCCGCACAGAAAACACATTTCTTTCAAAACCCACAAAAAGGACCGATTGCTTTTGGTGAACCTGGTCCTGAAACTCCCGAACGTCTGGGAGGCTCAGCGGTGTTCGTGCCGTCGAATAACCATTGGTAATGGTATGCGTTCGACGACACGGACCCGCTGACGAACAAGGGATCCAAGATGGCCGACCGCCGCATGGTCGGTAGTCGAACGACGGCCACCCAGGAGAGCCTCTAATAACCGATTGCAACAATGTTGCAATCGGTTAACTAGCGCCACACGCCTCTAAGTGTGTGGGCTATTAGGGGGTATCGCGTTCGGTTCACGAACGGCTTTCTAAAGTGCCGTTCGTGAAACGAAAGAAAATCCCCATACAAAACCGCCATTTGCATTCGGCGGAAACAGCAGTACAGGTAACACAGAAAATACATTAACATATACATAAGTATAAAGCGCATATCTCGCCCGACCTATTGGCAACCCTTAAAGGCCCAGTCTCTAGTTATTGTCCAAGTGGCTAGGTTTTCCACAGATGGAGAGACACATAAAGAAATTGCCCAGTAGAGTTGCCAACAGAGACTTCATCCCAAGGTGCCACATTACCTAGGTACTCCTATGTTTGCTAGAGACGTAAAGATACATAGCAGAGAAAGAGAGTGACCTGAGACAGACACATTCCATGGGCAGAGTGACCTGAGATAAACACATGCCATGGACAGAATGACCCGAGACAGATGCATGCCAAGCATTTGCTGATGGGTAGAGCATAAAAGGTGTAAGTGGAAGCAGCCACCCCATCACTTTAAAATGTAAAAAAATGCCCACAATCTTATAATATTTTCACAAATATTTATTGCATACATTTGTAAACTGTATGTTAGAAAGAGTCCCCTCAAGGTCTCATTAGAGTCTACAATGGAGTCTAATGGGCCCTAGAGAGGGGTCTCTCTAACACTCTGGTCCCAATTCACAATATATAATTATAATATCGCTCTCTGGTACAAGATGTCAGGTAGTGAGCACACTATTAGAAATGCTTGCACTTTTTCAGGACCCTGTAGAGACCCTGAACCAGTGTTCCCTTCATGTCATGCCCTTTAGTGGGCTGTCCTTACATTTTGGCAGGTAATCTGCTGTGTTATAACACTTTATACTCCCTTTCACCTTCATTTTCTCTCCAATCCACTGCCTCTTTCTTCACAGTTTAATCATCTAATATTTCCCCCATATACAGTTACTTACTGCCTAAAACAAACTTTAGTTTGGCAAATAAGTGTGTGCCTCCTGTATGCAGACTTTGCACAGGAGATCATGTAATATCCTGGAGCACACAGCTTCATTTAAAAGTGTATCCCATAAGAATCACTAACCATGGAATGTAGTCTGTGACTGGGGTTCAAACGGTTCACAAATTCAAGATATGCAATTAAAACATTAAACTAGAGGAACATGTGGGAGAATTCTTATCAAGGCCTTGCTAAACAAGGAGTGCTACTTGTTCATAGACATTTACTATACTAGCATCCCACTTTTGAAAATGCTTGACCGGTGTATAGCCGCCATATGGGCAGTCGGAACCTAGGACAAACCCCCACATACCTAACCCAATAACACACTGACACTAGGGTATATGGGTAAAATTGTCCACAGCTTTTATTAACCATTATAATAATAAAGATAATAAGTTTATTAGTAATAACAATTATAATAATATAATAATAATTTAACATATAAACATATACTCCACCCTCGCATCCGCATCCTTCTTTTAATATAACGGGCAATGGCCCCAACATACTAACACATATATCTCTAACAATTGGCAACCTTACTCCAACATAACAATTTAAGTGCCAACCATAAATAACCACGGAAGGGGTATACCCGGATACCCCTACCCCACCAGGTTCTGAGCCACCTCCAGGACTCGAAACCTACCAACCACCAGTGACCACAATTTCCATGTCCGTGACATTCCTCATGGGAGCCTATTTCATCTTCCTCGGCTCCCTATCCCGCCATGGGCTCAGACCTCTTAAGCTGTCTGAGCTCCCCCACCCCGGAGAAAGAGTGCCCTCTGCATCCCTTCCTGTAACCCCAGGTTCAGCAGGTCCCAACCCACTGCTGACAGGTGAACGCCGTCTGGGTGGTAATACCCTGGCAAACTGCCTTCCAATTCCCCGTGCCTCACCACTACCCCCCCCCCAACTTCCTCATGAAGCTCGCCATCAGGCTGTTAACCTTACCCCTACATCTGTTCAAGGCCGCAGGGTCCAGTGCGTGCCTCCAGTGTCGCCGCGGGACCATCTCTGACCACACCAACATTACCCCGGGAAGCAGATCGACCAGCTTGTTAAGGTCCTGTTTCATCCATTTGACTAGCCTCCGTTGCGGTATGAGGCCCAAGTCGTTGCCCCCTGCATGCAGTACCAACATGTCGGGCCTCACCCCGCCCGCTACCATTCGAAACACCGCCCCGCACACATCCCTCCAGTAATATCCCCTGTACCCGAGCCATCGCACCGCCAACTGGTCCTTTGGGATGCCCAGCTGCTGGCCTTGAGCTCGAGCTGCAGCCCCCCTCGCGGCCCTGAAGACAAAGGAATGGCCCACGATCCATGCGACACGACCTGGGGAAGGAGGAAAGACAGAGTATAAATACCCCCTTTGCCCACCGGAGTCCCCCACGGGCCCCGGCTAGCGATTCCAACAAACCCAAGCGAATGTACTAGCAGAACCAGACCGACTCCCATCTCCCGATCCTCTTGACCAGCTTGTCCCCAAGCCCCAAGCGCGCAGCCTCCGTGGCCGCCCCGATGCGAAAGGAGTGAGTACCGTAGGTGCTCGCACATAACCCCAACCTTCCTAAACCCAACCGGAAAATTTTGTTGAATTGGAAGCGAGAGAGCGACGAGCCGTCCGCATGCACCAAGAGCGACCCGTCAACCGCCAGCCTCTGCTCCAAGTATTGCGTTACCGCAGCCACTGGACACAAAGTGGAACCCGGTAGGCCCGTCCCGACCTGTCCCATGGACGTCCGTCTTGGACCTGGCCAAGTGCACCACCAACTTCCCCCCGAGTGTGCGAACCCCCGATGCCTGTATGCCCCCCGATGACAACCGCGTGGCGCTTACCAATTCCCCAATCCTAAAGGCCCTGAAAAAGGCCAGAAGGAATGCCGCCCTGAACAGAGACACCTCAAACCCATTGAAGCAGATTTCTGGTAAGGTTTGGACTAGGCCCCCCAGCACCCGTACCGACACTGGGCGTCTAGCATCCGGAACCCTTCGGCCCCTCCGATAGCCCTTTAGAGCCTGCCTGATAACAAAAGCCTCGGTAAGGTCTTCCCCCCCCGTGGAGCTTGAACCAAAAGGCCATTGCTGCCATGGTCCTGCCCACCACTGCTGGAGACGCGCCGCCCGCCAGCAAGTGGAAGGTGAACCACAGGAAGGCATCCAGCGGCGGCTCCCCCGTTGCTCGCCTACCCAGCCCTTCCCAGGAACGCTCCCATGCACCCCAGACCTTATTGTAGGCGGCCCAGGTGGCCGGCGAGAGCGAAGCCTTCACGAGTCCTCCAAGCAGGACGCTCCTAACTGCCACATCTCGTTCGGGCACGCCTGGCCCACGTCCTGCGCCTCCGGGGCCACCGTCCGAAATCTGGACCACTGAAAATGAGACAGAGCATCAGCCACCTCGTTCAAGTACCCCGGCACATGGCGCGTGCGAAAGACCACATTAAGGGACATGCACAGCAAGACAAATCGCCGCAATAACGTCACCACTGGCCTTGACGCCGCCGACTGGTTGTTAACCGCATGCACCACGGACATGTTGTCCGAGAAAAAAAAACCTTCCAGTCCCGCAAGCTATCCCCCCACAGAGCCAACGCCACCACCAACGGGAACAATCCCAGGAAAGCCAAGTTACGCCACCGGCCACTTTTCCGCGCACCATCTCCCACCGAAGTAGGTCCCAAACCCCACGCTACCAGATGCATCAGTGAACAGCTCCAGTTCGGCCGCTGACACGTCTTCCTGCCGGAAGAACACCATCCGGTTGAAATCCCGTAAGAAGGTGTCCCATACTACCAAGTCCGCCCGCATGGACGAAGATACCCGTATGAAATGGTGCGGGGACCATGCCCCCGCGGTAGCTGCCGACAGGCTGCGGCTAAACACCCTACCCATCGGTATCACCCTGCAGGCGAAGTTGAGCATCCCTATCAGCAATTGCAGCCACTGAAGTGTCACCTTGCGCGCCTGCCGCACCGCGCCCACCGTGGACCGCAGTCCCTCCAATTTGGACAGCGGCAGCCAGCATTCCACGAGCACCGAATCTATTTCCAGCCCCAAAAAGCTGAGGCACCCGGTCGGGCCCTCCGTCTTATCCGCCGCCAGTGGCAACCCGAAATGGCCTGCCACCCATTCAATGGTCCTCAGCAGGTGCAGGCACGCCAGGGAGTCGGCCGGCCCTACGCAGAAGAAGTCATCCAAGTACCCCGCCTCAACCCGCACCACCCATTCGAGAAAAGAGCTAAACTTCTCGAAGTAAGAGCAAGAAATGGAACAGCCCATTGGGAGGCATAAGTCCACATAATAGCCTCCATCGAAGAAGCACCCCAGCAGGTGGTGACATGCCGGGTGGACTGGGAGCAGATGAAACGCTGCTTCGATATCAACCTTGGCCATAAGAGCCCCACGCCCGACCCTCTTTACCAGCTCGACCGCCTGGTCGAATGATGCATAAGAGACCGAGCACAGCTCCTTATCGATATCATCATTCAACGAAGCACCCTTAGGGTAGGTTAGGTGGTGAATGAGCCTAAACTTTCCTGGCTCCTTCTTGGGGACCACCCCGAGAGAGGAAACCCGGAGGCCCTCTATCGGTGGTGCCCGAAACGGTCCTGCCATCCTACCCAACAACACTTTCTTGCTCAGCTTGTCCCGCACCACCCCCGGAAATTCCGCCACCGATTTCAGATTACGCTCCTGCTCCCCCTGACTTACCTTTCTTGAAACATCGCTGCAACCCGTGCGCCCGCAGCCTGAGCATTCGTGCTTAAATTGACAGGAAGCACCCCACTTGCACTGGCCTTCATTAAAAAGCCAGCATAATCCCTTTTGTGAGGCGGCCAATGAGGCGGACTGACCTTTTGCCTCAGCCGCGTGCTGAGGTGGTCTATTTCATACCCGGATTGGCCGCCAGCCTCTGCCGGAACTGTTCGTCATACCTCCACCAGGCCAGCTCGCCATACGTGCGGTATGCCTCCCAAATCCCGTCCAAGTAGCAAAACAGGGAAGAGCACGCCCCCGGCAATTTCTCCCCTATCACACAGGCCAGGACGCAGAACGCCCTCAAAAAGTTCCCAAAGGATTTCGGTATCTTGCGATACCGCTTCCGCTTCTCCTCCTCTTCCTTCTTCTCATCCTTTTTATCCTCCTCCTTGAGGTCAATGAAGTCCTCCAAAGGAAGGAGGGAGAAGATCTTGCAAAACTCCCCTTCCCAAATTTTTTCTTTCACCTCCTGTTTGAGGTGAACCCCGAGCAGGCCAGCAAACGATACACACGCGTGCTGCCTCGCTGCGTCCGACACCCCCCCAGTTAGTTCTGCCCGCTTGCTCCCTGCATCCCCCGCGCCGGGCGCGGCCCCCCACCTCCTCGCTGCTTGCCGACACCGCTGAGGTCCCCACACTGGGCACCGCTGCTGCCGCCCCATGTGCCCACACCTGCCCTACGCTGTCCCCTGTACCACCCCCCGCCTCCAGTGAGTGGAGTAGTGATTGTAGTGTTTGCACTAGTGCGCTGGGATGCAGCAATTCGCTGGACTCACCGGCCAAGCCCCTCGATCCAGAAGTGCCCGGGGCTGCGCTGAGAACCGCTGTGTTTCCAGGATGAGCGACATCCGTTGATGTCCCGCCAACCGGGGAGCCCGCCCGGTGCCTCACGAACCCTGAGGAGGAGTGGCTCCGAGATCTGAAACGAGGAGAAGAAGTCCTGGGCAGGGTATACTGTTTCTCGCCCACCCTCCAGTCCCGACCCAGGGAGCGCCTGCCTGTCGCCAAGGCCTCCCGCTGCCCGCTACCCCCAGAACCACCGAGCCGGCCTAAATACGATGCCTTCTCGCCACCTACCCCCGGCTCCCCTCCCTGCCCCCCGGCTAGTGGACCCACTCCGCGCCCCCTGAGACCTGCCCGCTGACCCCTGCGCTGCGTCAGCCTGCCCCCCAACCTACGCCTGCGGCTAGCTGGCACCCCATGTGGCCCTTCCTCTCCTGCCACCGGCCTCCTGGGGGAAACTCGCCCTCTCCCCCCCCATCTACCCAGGCACTATCCCCCAGCTGCTCACCCCCCGCATCCTGCACGCCAAGGGGGCCCCTTGGAGAGCCCCCTGCACTTGCCTGCTGTGCCTGCCTCGCCTGGGGCCTGCTCCGAGCCGTCCTGCCCCTGGCTCCGTCCTCTGCGGCCTCCAGTAGTGGGGGCGCCCTCCTTGGCCGCGCCCTTGTCCCTCCTGACCCTGGAGAGGGCCGTTCGGCCGCCGGTGCAGCCCTTGCTCCAGACGCCACCCCACCCACTCCAGGGGGCGCGCTGCCTGCCTCCCGGGCTGCCGCCCGCCGGGAATCTCCCCGCGAGGCCCCGGCTGCACTGTGGGAGGCGGGGCCTCGACCACATGGCCTCCGGGCCTGCTGCTGCTGCTGCTGCCCGCTGCCTCCAGACCGCCGGTGCCTCCAACCTCCGGTCCTGCACCTGGACTCAGGCGCCGTGGGGGCCTCCTGGCCCGCGTCGGTCCTCCTCCGTTGCCATCCCTCCCTGTTGCCGCCGTCATGAGCTGGTCCAGCTGGGCCCGCACCCAGCCCCCTCCCTGTCGCAGTGCTGCCGCCCGGACTTTAGCCAGCAACCTCTCCACGTCCTCTATGGCCCTGCAGAGGGAGACAAAAAGAGAAAAGCCCTACCCAGCAAAGCAGTGAGCACCAGAGTGCACACAAACTCAACCAGGTTGGAAATTAAATGTGCTGTATCCAAAATGGCTACCTCCTTAAGTAGACCAACCCCTTACTCCTACAACCCACCAGTCCTGGCTGGCTCCTCCTAAGCCCGCCTCCTAACCCCTGTCAAGGCCCTCCTCCGCTAAACTGTGCTTTGGCTCCTTGGGGCTACAATATTGTTTGGAAACTATGGCCTGTGACACTACAACAGAATCCTGGATCCGGTCAGGTCAGCGCAATCAGACATGTTCGGGAATGGTCAGTCCACTCCTAAATACTTCCATAGCACACCTAAGGATGGAAAAATATACATCTAAAGAAAAACCTCAAAGTGTGAGAAATGCATATAATCATTACACTTGGTACCAGAGGCTTACCTAGAGCATTTGTGACCCATGACGAATTCATGCATTTGAAAACCACAATCCAAAAAATACTGTACAGTGTGTTGGCGCTTCTAATAATACAAATAAGGGTGTGTAGAAGGTATCACCTTAAATGTACACATAAGTGAAAAACAAAACAAACAAACATTCCATCTTTCAGTGAGTACACACAAAATATACTTATGTACAAGCTGCGATGGACAGCATTCTATAAATATCTGTAGGACACAAAAAAGGACAAAACATAGTGTATTCTTTATAAAAAATATAAATAGTAGATCACAGGAAATAAAACTCATGACAAGTAAAAAGTTGTGCCAGGCTCTAGGACGTAAGCTTCAAGGTACCTCTACAGGCTTGGAATCCCACTTGGTCAGGAACCACGGGAATCTTGCAGATACACATATATGGTGTTCTTTATTCAATAACATATTAAAGCATATAGAAAATAAAAAATATATAATCGGACTAGAAGAAAAAGCATAGGCAGTGTAAAGCAAGCTAACAAGAATTGTCAGTTCGGATGGAGAGCCCCAGAAGCAGCAAATGCGTTTCGACACCATGATCTTCAGTGCTTAAACAGGAACTTGTGAACACCCACTCACCAGCATTAAAGAATAATGGCCATTATGGGCATTGCCAGTGATGCAAGTTGCCCACCCACTGTGCCGATTCCCACATTAAAGGAGGGAATTGTTTGAAGGCAGAACTTTAAACATCAATTATAAAGATAAGCCAATTAGGTAAATAAAATACAATGTTATTCCAAAATCAAGCTGGTTGTTGTTTTATTTGTAATCCAAACTGGTTAAAAGGAATGACTGAATCCTGGGTCAGGTTGGCAACAAGTAAGGCAAATCTGAAGCATAACAGCAGTATCTAAAGTTCAGTATTGGTCAACAACGAGTAAGGATATGTACAAAGTTCCAATTCAGGTCGGCAACAATTAAGGTTATATATATATAAGCAGGGCCGGATTAACATAGGGACTGATGGCGCTGCAGGCCCATTGATAAAATAAATAAATATATATATATATATAATTTTTTTTTCTTTTTAAAACAATGTTTTACACACTACTCTTAGGGTTTTTGAGGCTGCCTAGCCGAAGCCGGTATTACAGTAATACCGGCAATACAAATGTCAGTCTCAATATAAATAGAAATTATTCTGCAATACCAGTGCTGGCCAGTAGGGGTTGCTGTGTGTGTGGAGAGAGGCAGGGATAGGAAGTTACAGCATCTGCCTCCCTGCCTCTCTCTACTCACTGATCTGCAGGGGAGCAGTTCTGCACAGAGAGTTCAGACAGCAGCTCCGAACCAGCAGAGACAGCCTACAGCTCAGGTAAGTGAGGGATGGGGGGTGGGGGAGACTGCAGGGAGACATGGGGGCACAGATACTAGGGGACACTGGGAAACCTGGGGACACTGAGACACTAGGGGACTCTTTGAGACATGGGGACACTGTGAGACATGGGGACACTGGGAGACACGGGCACTGGGGGACATGGAGACCTGGGAACACTGAGACACTAGGTTACACTGTGAGACATGGGCACACTGTAAGACATGGAGACACTGAGACACTAGGGGGCACTGGGAGACCTGGGCACACTGAGACACTAGGGGAAACTTGGGCGCACTGTAAGACATGGGGACACTGAGACATTCAGTGTCCCCATGTCTCCCAGTGTCCCCAAATGTCTCACTGTCCCTAGGTCTCCCAGTGTCTCCTAGTGTCTCCATGTCTCACAGTGTCCCAATGTCTTTGTGCCCCCGAGTGACATTGGAACACTGGGAGACATGGGGATACAGACACTAAGAGACACTGGGAGAAATGGGGACACAAACACTTGGGGACACTGGGAGACATGGGGACACTGGAAGGACACTTACAGACATGGGGACTCAGGAAGACCGGGGTGACATGGGGCATCCCCAGTGTCCCCCTGTCTCCCAGCCAGTGTCCCTAGTGTCTCAGTATGCCCATGTCACCCAGTGTCCCTGGTGTCTCTGTGTCCGTAGTGTCTCAGTGTCTCTAGTGTCTTAGTGTTTCCTAGTCTCCGACAGTCCCCTAGTCTCCCAGTATCTCAGTGTCCCCATGTCTCCCAGTGTCACCATGTCCACTAGTATTAAAAAAAATCTCAGGCACTCACTGTGATACATTTAAGCAGGTTTATGGGACACCAGGGCCGCCACCAGAAATGTTGGGGCCCCTAACTCAGCTTAGGGTCTGGGGCCCGCCTCCAATCCCACCCACAGGGTCCGCCTCCAAATCCCACCCAAAGGAATACACACACAGACACAAACACACACACTGATACAAAAGGACACAGATACACACACAGATACATACTAACAGACACACATACTGAAACAGACATACACACATACATATACAGACACACAGGCATACATAGTGACAGACAGACACATAATAACATACATATAGACACATGCATGAGGACATACAGACACATACATACAGACACCGACATACGTACATTCATAATGACATACAGACATACTTATATACAGACATACTGACAGACATACAGACAGACATACAGACACTGACATCCATACACACATACATTCATAATGGCATACAGACATACATTCATACTGGCATACATGCATATATATAGACATACTGACATACATGCACACTGACGTCCATACACACATACACGCAGACACACGTTCATAATGACATGCAGACATACATTCATACTGACATACAGTTGCAAGAAAAAGTATGTGAACCCATTGGAATGATATGGATTTCTGCACAAATTGGTCATAAAATGTGATCTGATCATCATCTAAGTCACAACAATAGACAATCACAGTCTGCTTAAACCGATAACACACAAAGAATTAAATGTTGCCATGTTTGTATTGAACACATCATGTAAACATTCACAGTGCAGGTGGAAAAAGAATGTGAACCCTTGGATTTAATAACTGGTTGAACCTCCTTTGGCAGCAATAACTTCAACCAAATGTTTCCTGTAGTTGCAGATCAGACGTGCACAACGGTCAGGAGTAATTCTTGACCATTCCTCTTTACAGAACTGTTTCAGTTCAGAAATATTCTTGGGATGTCTGGTGTGAATCGCTTTCTTGAGGTCATGTCACAGCATCTCAATCGGGTTGAGGTCAGGACTCTGACTGGGCCACTTCAGAAGGCGTATTTTCTTCTGTTTAAGCCATTCTGTTGTTGATTTACTTGTATGCTTTGGGTCATTGTCCTATTGCAACACCCATCTTCTGTTGAGCTTCAGCTGGTAGACAGATGGCCTTAAGTTCTCCTGCAAAATGTCTTGATAAACTTGGGAATTCATTTTTCCTTCGATGATAGCAATCCGCCCAGGCCCTGATGCAGCAAAGCAGCCCCAAACCATGATGCCCCCACCACCATACTTCACAGTTGGGATGAGGTTTTGATGTTGGTGTGCTGTGCCTTTTTTTCGCCACACATAGTGCTGTGTGTTTCTTCCAAACAACTCAACTTTGGTTTCATCTGTCCACAGAATATTTTGCCAGTACTACTGTGGAACATCCAGATGCTCTTGTGCAAACTGTAAACGTGCAGCAATGTTTTGTTTGGACATTAGTGGCTTCCTCTGTGGTTTCCTCCCATGAAATCCATTCTTGTTTAGTGTTTTACGTATTGTAGTTACGGGATGTTAGCATTTGCCAGTGACTTTTGTAAGTCTTTAGCTGACACTCTAGGATTCTTCTTCACCTCATTGAGCAGTCTGCGCTGTGCTCTTGCAGTCATCTTTACAGGATGGCCACTCCTAGGGAGAGTAGCAGCAGTGCTGAACTTTCTCCATTTATAGACAATTTGTCTTACTGTGGACTGATGAACAGCAATGCTTTTGGAGATACTTTTATAACCCTTTCCAGCATTATGCAAGTCAACAATTCTTAATCGTAGGTCTTCTGAGAGCTCTTTTGTGCGAGGCATCATTCACATCAGGCAATGCTTCTTGTGAAAAGCAAACCCAGAACTGGTGTGTGTTTTTTATAGGGCAGGGCAGCTGTAACCAACACCTACAATCTCATCTCATTGATTGGACTCCAGTTGGCTGACATCTTACTCCAATTAGCTCTTGGAGATGTCATTAGTCTAGGGGTTCACATACTTTTTCCACCTGCATTGTGAATGTTTACATGGTGTTCAATAAAAACATGGCAACATTTAACTCTTTGTGTGTTATTAGTTTAAGAAGACTGTGATTGTCTATTTTTGTGACTTAGATGATGATCAGATCACATTTTATGATCAATTTGTGCAGAAATCCATATCATTCCAAAGGGTTCACATATTTTTCTTGCAACTGTACATATATACATACATACATAATGACATACAGACATTCATTGATACTGGCATACATACATACATACAGACATACATTCATACAGACATACATTCATACATACATACATACATTCATAGTGACATACAGACATACATATATACATACAGACATACATTTATACTCACAGACATACAGATATACATACATAATGACATACATGCATACATACAGACATACATTCATACATACAAACATACATTCATACATGCATGCATACATACATACATACATTCATAATGACATACAGACATACATGCATACATACAGACACACAGACATATATACATACATAATGACATGCATACAGACACAGAGACATACATTCATACATACATACATTCATAGTGACATACAGACATACATATATACATACATACTGACATACTCACAGACATACAGATATATATACATACATACTGACAGACATACAGACATACATACATACATAATGACATACATACAAACATACATTCATACATGCATGCATACATACATACATACATACATACATTCATAATGACATACAGACATACATGCATACATACAGACACACAGACATATATACATACATAATGACATGCATACAGACACAGAGACATACATTCATACATACATACATTCATAGTGACATACAGACATACATATATACATACATACTGACATACTCACAGACATACAGATATATATACATACATACTGACAGACATACATACATACATAATGACATACATACAAACATACATTCATACATGCATGCATACATACATACATACATACATACATTCATAATGACATACAGACATACATGCATACATACAGACACACAGACATATATACATACATAATGACATGCATACAGACACAGAGACATACATTCATACATACATACATTCATAGTGACATACAGACATACATATATACATACATAATGACATACTCACAGACATACAGATATATATATACATACATACTGACAGACATACATACATACATAATGACATACATACAGACATACATTCATACATGCATCCATACATACATGCATACATACAGACACACAGACATATATACATACATAATGACATACATACAGACATACATGCATACAGACATACACACAGAGCTCATTTTCCAGTCACCTTCCTGTTTCTTACCTTTTCTTTGCAGGAGGGTGGCTGCGGATGATGGGAGTCGGCGCGGCTCTCCCTCTTCACTGCCTGGCTGGCTCTCCTCCCGCGCGGAGTGAGCTGGGAGGAAGTGACCACTTCCTCCCAGCAGCACATGCTGCGGCTGCGTTTTTTTTTAAAGGGGCCCGGTCGCGCTATTACACGGCCACAGCGCTGACCGGGCCCCTGAAGATATAGGGCCCATCGGGTGGCCCTAAGTGCATGGGCCACCCGATAGGCCCCATCAGCGTGCGGGCCTCGGTGCAACTGCACCAGTGGCATTTCCGCCGCTACACATGGGGCTCGGGCGGCTGGGCCCCCCAGGGCCGCCGGGCCTGTGACAACCGTCATGGTTGTCACCCCCTGATGGCGGCCCTGTTGGACACCGCAACATTTTGACCTGTACCCAGGTCTTTATCAAGTCTCCCGTGTCCCTATGTATCACAGCGTCTCCCTGCCCTATGTCTCCAAGTGCAGTGGCGTACATACCAGGGTCACAGGGGTCGCGACTGCGACCGGGCCCGGTCCACCAGGGGGCCCGGCCGCCCTGCGACCTGGTATGTACCCACTGGACCAGCCTCTTCTCCTGGGGGACCCAGGAGCCGGCCACCTCAGGGCCCCCCGAGGCTGGCCCTGCTGGGCTCCTGGGCGGGCACGCGAGGGAGCACTTTGCTCTGAGTGCTTCCTCTTCAGCTCCCTCGCGCACCGCACTGATACCGGAGCCAGATTTAGACTTCTGTGGCTTCAGGCAGCTTAGCATGACCGAATCATAAGAAACAATCACACTTTGCAGCTTCAGCAGCACTCTTTGCATGATGCTGAGTACGAGCAACTTGGCATGTTATTAAGGGCATTGTAACAAGTTGTGTAATTAGAGATGGCCCCTAATATCTAACCTCCCAATGTTTAGAGGGAGAGAGAGTGTGTGCGCGTGGGTGTGTATGTGTGTGTATATATATATATATATATATATATATATGGTGAAATAGTGATCAGCACTCTCGGACTTTTGTTGAGTTTAAAACTTACAGTTTATTGAAATTCCATTTAAAAGATCAACGTTTCAGTTCCTATCTGGAACTTTCATCAGGATCAAACATGTTTGTTCCTGATGAAAGTTCCAGATAGGAACTGAAACGTTGATCTTTTAAATGGAATTTCAATAAACTGTAAGTTTTAAACTCAACAAAAGTCCGAGAGTGCTGATCACTATTTCACCATATGCAATTTTTCCCTGGATTACAAGCACCCGGCTTACAACTGTCTACAAGTGTGAGTGCAAGGAAACCCTGTATGTTATATATATATATATATATATATATATATATATATATATATATATATATATATATATATATATATAATATTCAATTTTAATATATGGCTATTTATTACTGACCCAGATCTGGTTATGAATTACTGACCCAGATCTTGAGCATTTGATTAACCCTGTCATTTTAACTGAATTTACAGTGGAAGAGCAGAGCATATAGAATGATATGTACATTGAAATAGCAGAAATTGTATATAAATAGTTTAGGTGATATAAAAAAAGTGCGAACATAATGAGAGATGATGAATTTAAATGGCATGGGTATTGAATATACTATAAATCATTACACTTGAAATTGTTTAATTTTACAGACCAACTGCTTTTAATGTGAGGTGAATGGTACTTGTATGTTTATGCAACTACTTGAAAACATTTTATTTTGTTTACATATTTGACCCAGAATTATTATTCTGTGTTTAAAATGTGCTGAGTAACTAGAGTTAGCGGAACTCAAAATAGCGAGCATTGTTGCTGAGGGGAGTGTTAAACGTGAGGGACTGACATTCCATCATAGTACCATGTGTTCGAGAGACTCATCGAATTTGGGAAGCTGTGTATTCTAATCGAACGTGGTGAGTTTTGTTAAGTATTGATTTAGGAGGCGGTGGTCTATATTGGTTGTAATGATGAGTTTATCAATCTGAGAAATAAGTGAATTAAAAAAAAAAAAAAAAAGATCCTCTCCCTTCGTGCAACTCCATGAGAATTTGACTTTGTCAGCTAGAGATTATAGCAATTTCTATAGTGGCTTTATTTAATATGCGTTTCAGGACAATTACATGTATTTCACCATCCCTTGGTAACTCCTTGATTTTGGGAAGTTGGTCATTTAACGGTTATCATTCAGGCAAAAGGCAAAATAATCGCCAGCTCATCACAGTTTAGCTGTTTTTGCTATTCAAACTTTAATTCCCTGCAATTTGAAGGTTAGTTAATAAAGATTACGGTTTTTCATATTTGGATTAAGGTAGTGGTTTGGTGCATAGGTGTTTTCCCCTTACTTAAATACTGTAAAACATTGCCATTTCTGAGAAATGACAATGTTTACATTTGTGTAGTGAACACTCCTGTAATGATTCCGACTGACAGCCGCAAGCTGCAATTTCTCTTTTAGGTATCGGAAATCAAATGTTTTCAGTTCACGAGGGGTTCCAAACACTACTAAAACTTCTCATAGTGAAGCAGTGAATTTAGCGGTTTCTACTGAGAAGCACTGGATTGGTAGCGTGCAGTGAAGGCTGCACTTGCACTTACTGTATGTCCCCAATGCTTCTCAATGAGAAGCATTGGATTTAACAGTCATGATGGCAGAAGGATACCAATATCACTTTATGTTAAGTGATTTTAGGGCTTTGATACTGCCCCATATGATAGAAAACAGTGCTGTTTTTGGAGAAATGTCAACCCTTGTGCTCCATTTCTTCGTCCCGCATAAGCATGTAAATGCTGAAATCCTGTGTACCCAATACTTCTCCTAGAGAAGCACTATATTGACAGAGCAAAGTTGCAACACTAAACTACACATTTTGGTGCAGAGCCTAGCTGAGAGTGCACAACTGATAATCTCAGCCAATAAACTAATCCTACAGTGCACAGCTCAGGGGAGCTAACTGTTCCTGTGGCTGGGCTGTAGTTGTTATTGCACTTGGCCCTTTAGTACAATTCATAGTTACATAGCTGAAAAGATACTTGCGTTCATCAAGTTCAGCCTTCCTCACATTTGTTTTTTGCTGTTGATCCAAAAGAAGGCAAAAAACCCAGTTTGAAGCACAATTTTGGAACAAGCTAGGAAAAAATTCCTTCTTGACCCCAGAATGGCAGTCAGATTTATCCTTGGATCAAGCAGTTATTACCCTACATTGAAAGATTATATGCTTGAATATTCTGTTTTTGCAAGTATAATTAAAAAGTTGATTTTATTTTGACCATTGAACACTGGAATGTGTTAGAGATCGACCGATAATCTGTTAATCTGTAAACTTTCAGGCTGATAATTTACTGATACCGATATTCTGTACATTTACCGTTTAAAAAAACGAACTATTTCCACACAAAACTACTATTAACTGAACATGTTTATTTTTTGCAATTTTTTTTTTATTAAGGTAAATGCACAAAATATGCTTGCCAGTCAGAATTGTTTGTTTTCAAGAATATATGTGTGTGTAGTGGATACAGTGAGAGTATTTGATTAGTGAATGCAGTGTGTGTGTGTGCTTTGTGCCAGGGGCACTGCGGTAGATAGGGAGAGCAGGGGCACTGCGGTAGATAGGGAGTGCAGGGGCACTGCGGTAGATAGGGAGAGCAGGGGCACTGCGGTAGATAGGGAGAGCAGGGGCACTGCGGTAGATAGGGAGAGCAGGGGCATGGACTCCTTCTAGCTTACCAGTTTGGGCCACATTTAGCCCCGCTGCACGCTAAGCTCCGTCCCCATCGCCCTGTCGGCAATATCGATATCTTTATAGGCCGATACCTATATTGCTGAAAATTCAGAACATTGGCCGATAATCGGTCGATCCCTCGAATGTGTGTATTTTATGATGAACTATGTTGGAATTAGTATCTTGGGAGTATAAATACAACCAATATAAATATGCTTGAATTCTCTTAAGAACATGTAAGGTCACTAAATATATTTTTCCCCTGGAAACCTTAGCCTTACCCAAGAGTGGTGCTTGAGGGCTTGAAAATTGGATTGGGAGGACTGCTTTTATGCTCACTACTTGCCTCATTCCCTGGGCTGTGGGATGAGGAACAAATATAAAAAAATAGGCAATATGGTAATTCCTCCTCATGTGACTTTGTATCTGAATTTTCCTGCTGTTTCCATACATGCTGCACATTTCCTTTTCCCATTACACATGTTAATTTTGGGGACAGTTTGAAAAGCATAAGGGTTATATTGTATATGTTTAGTGAGCAACTTCTCAGGTGCAAATTTGAAAAGCTAAATGATGTTTGTAAATCTGAAATAAAATGATATACTTGCTATAGTGTTTAAAGATTTGGGTTTTGTAATGCCTTTTTTTTATTTATTTTTTAAATTCAGGTATTTTTTTAAGCATGCGAGAACAATCAAATCTACCAGAGCCTACCAGCTATGAGCGGGTA